ACACTTAACTATTTCGCACAGATCTATGGCATGGATGAGAGCCTTAAAACAAAGCGAATTAATTTTCTCATTAACTTCCTATCGCTTCCCAATCCGAACGCTAGAGTCAAGAATTTGAGGTAAAAAATACGTAAAAAAAGTTTTGCACACAAATAAACTGCAATTATATTTTCTATACATTAAGTGGTGGCGAACAGAGAAGAGTATCGCTGGCCGTAGCCATTGTCCACAGCCCGCCATTCCTTATACTCGATGAGCCGACGGTAGGCGTCGATCCAATGCTGAGGGAGAGGTAAGATTGGATTGTCATGTGTTTTGCTCTCATGTAATACTGTATTTGATTTGTATGTTTGGCCAGAGTTTGGCAGCATTTGGTGCTATTGGCGAAACAGGAGAAGACCACGATTTTGATAACAACTCATTACGTAGAGGAGGCGCGAAGGGCTCACGTGATTGCGCTCATGAGGTCGGGTCGTCTTCTGGTGGAACAGTCGCCGCAATATCTTCTCAATCACTTCGATGTGATTACGTTAGAAGAGGTGTTTCTTAACGTGTGTAGGGCTCAGGAGTCGGACTTCAAAGCACATCCACTGCCAAAGAGTTTCATTGAGACAATCGATGAGAAACAGATTGAATTGAAAAGAAGTGAATCTTTTGTAACGCAAAAAAGTTTGCATTTGAATCCCAATTATTGGAAACGCGGCAAAAGTCTTGTCATAAAAGATTACAGAAGACTCACCAGAAATCTATTGTATGTCTTAAGAGTTAGTGTTTAAACAGTTAACTAATTATCATTTGTTTTTCAATATTTTCTGCTAATTATGACCCGAAGAATATTGTTCTTCCAAATCCTGATCCCAACCATATCGATGACACTGTTTTGCTTATGTGTGGGTCGGGTGCCTCTCAATCTAAAAGTGGCCGTTTATAACGAAGAGGTCCTTTTAGGCAGCAATTTAAGCCATACGTGTGTTTATAATAATCTGAGCCGTTATTTCATTGACGCCATCGATAGAGAACACGTCCAATTGGTATACCATTTTTTGAAACATGCTTTTTATAATTATGTTTAAAATGTTAATCATATTTGACTACAGATTAACTTCAATACTCGCGACAACGCATTGAAATCAGTAGAAACGGGAGAGACCTTCGGGGCGCTGGTCGTCGACCGGGACTTTAGTTACGCGTTGTGTAACCGAATGAACAACAAGACTAACATCAAGAAGAGCACCATTTCCTACTTTGGAGACTTTACTGGTCTTTAACACACATTTTACTTAATTATGTCTCTGTTTTAATTAAAACTCTAAATCTATTGTTTTAACAGATATAACAATATTTGATTCAATAATCAAAGTTATGAACGACGCTGTTATGACATTTTCGGCAGATGTCAGTCGACTTCTTAAGCCTATTGTACAACCGTTACAATCGATAGATCC